TCTATATCTATATCTATATCTATATCTATATCTATTTTTACAATAACTTACAAATTTGTCGAGTGCTGAATGGTTATTTTTTATCATCAATAAGAGRACAAACAGATAAAGCTGACGTCGACGAGCGCGCGTTCTTTCCGTTGGTTGTTCTGCGCATCCACGACGCATACTACTTTGACAATGTGAAGAAGCAATTTAACGTCAATAAGAGGACACACACATTAAAAACTGATGTCTATTTGTTAACGGAACGCGCTGCGCGAGGATGCGCAACTTGGCTACTCCTCCTGGATCCGCATACCACTTTGAGATAACAAATTTGACGAATCTCCATACATTTCCTTATAGCAGGACACCACAGAAACCAAGCTTGGGCTACCTGTGACAAAACCGATTAAAACTTCTCATTTTTAGCAATCAAAATAACCAATGGAAAGAGCGCGCGCTCGTTGACGTCAGCTTTATCTGTCTGTCCTCTTATTGATTATGAAAAATCACCAATCAGCGCGCGAGAAATTTGTAAGTTATTGTAAAAAGAGCCACCTTAATTGTATAGTATTGTTGTTCCACAAATCAGTATTCATTTATATGAAAGTCATTCTTGAAGAGAATGTATTATTATTGTTTCTTCTGGAATGATATCTTGATTTTAGTAATAGCAAAACAAGAGTTTTATTTTAAGTTAATGACTGAAATCATTTTAATTTTTTTACTGGTATGAAAAAGCTATATATTTTGATAGTCAGAGGGAAAGGATCGTGCACGTGGTGATAATAATATAATGTGGATAGAGATCTAGTTAAAGGCTTGATTATTCTGATTGATTAATGCAGCTTTATGTATTTATGATACTTTTTATGACTAGGTGCACAACCTTCGTCACTCAGTACACAATGTCTCGCATGCCATCAAGACAGTGCCGCTAGGATTATCAGGAGGAATGCAAAAAATGTTTACTAATAAGGTAAATGTATAAGTAAGAGTTTTATGTTCTAACGATAATGACTCATTGAACATAACGCATTCGTTTGCAARCGAAACATCTCTTTAGCATTTACTACTCTCTTGGTCGTAATGTTTTACAATTTCAGACTACGTTTCATTCTCTAGAGCTTCCTTTCTTTTTTTTTTCTCCCTGGAGGAACTTGGCGTGTGGTGACTTACTTTAATAATCACATACTTTTTTTCGTAGCCTGGAGGAAGTCGAGATGTCAAAGATGATTCCGAACAGATTTATGCCGACATCGATTTTGAGGTGGGCAGGGGTTGGTTTTAGCTTTTCTCCCTGTGATTGTGAAGATAATGTAAAACATTCACGTTACCGTAATCGTAACCCTAATCATTATAATTTCTCAGTCGTGTGTAGGGGAGGAGTAGAGGAGAATTGCTAATGTATATTTTTATGTTAGGATGATGATAATATTGCTCTACGAGTGCTTTTGCTTCTTATGGATGAAATTTTTGATTTAAAAGACAGGTACGTACGTTAATAAAATCGTCCGGGGACCCATTTATAATTATCGCCCAGGTTCAAGTTCTTTCTTAAAAAAAGGCGCATGTGACGTCATGCATATCTACTATATTTAAAGACTTTATTGATAGCCTTCAATCTTATCAGGCTATGGGTTTCCATGGAAGGTTTAGTTTGACTTAAAACAAAGCACCAAAAACTAATTATAGTTTTGTTTTCCAGAAATCTTTGGCTGCGTAGACGTATTATTGTATTTCTAAGGCAGATCATAAAGACAACGTATGGAGATCGTATAAACAGGTTTGTTCTCACTTGCAGCCAAGAAGGTCTCTTTGAAATGATTGCAAACTACGTCTATAGAGGAGAAGCTACATTGAAACTACAATATATCGGCTAACTGCATGTTAACATACATTTCTTGTCTTCTCGTGGCTGGAAAAACTGTTCATTAAACAATTAATTGGCTCTTTCTTTACACTATAATTTATTTGATTTTTTAGCTTGGATTAAATTGTGTCCTATTGTGTTCGTTTACGTATCAGAAAAATAGTTGAATCTGTAGATGAGATGACATCATCTGGACAGATAGCAGAATACGTCAAAATGTTCAGGTTGGTGATTTAAATAACACTTACGGTACTTTGATGATAAGACTACTAAACTAACATAGATAACATAAAAGACAAAGGACTAATTGATGCTCTAAGGGAAGTGAGGGAAGCACGGGTTCGATTCCTGGTCTCGTCGTATGTCAGCAGAGCCTTTARTAGGGTTTTTACTCCCTCCACAAAAATCCCTAAAATATACCTTTTTACCGCAGCGTTCCTTGATATATTTACAAATACCAACGATAAGKGAAGAGGAATCGACAACGTCAATAAATTCAAACACATTAAAATTAAACCGGACCTTCAATGGAACACATGAACATTTTGCACAATGTCGCGGCTAACCCTGAAACTCAGAAAACTCGAAACTGGAGTCATGAATTATTTATGATCAAGTTTGCATCGCAGTACATTATGGACTCTTYTAGGGGACGAAAGAGACACCATCTTGAAAATACTCACTATGTACGCTTAAAGGGGAGTCAGGATGGAGTAGTGGTAAAATGCTCGCCTAACCTCTGGATTCAATTCCCARTCACGTTACCGTAACCCTATGTGAGCTGAGTTTTTTGGTTTTCTTTCTGACTCCAAGGGTTTCCGAGCCCCCGGTATTTCCYACCTCCTACGAAATCATCCATCCATAACTAATTCTTATRATACACTCAACAAAATTACTCGGTTCTGATTGGACAAGAGGAGTATTAAATCCCATTAAATTATTAAATCTGTAGAGTCCCAATCAAGTTGCTCAATTTTGTTGAGCGTATTATAAAGAAAAAACCGCACAATCTTCTCGTRCAATTCAGAATTTATAGATCCTCGGGATGTTTTGAAAGTTCTCAAATTTTGAAAACTTTCAAGACATCACTMGTACCTATAAATTGCGAATTGTACTCGAGATCGTGCGATTTCCTATATAAATTGTTTAGAGCTGTGCTGCAGGGTGATACATGGAATATGTAGCGRCTGCCAGAGGCACCTTAACATCCGTTCGACCCCGTTGAGCTGCGCCACTGCCGTATTTGCGGTGGKGATTAGCGATAACAAGTTAAAACAGKCCCAAAATATACTGCAATGCCAACTTCACCCAGGTTTCTCATCAACCTCGAAATGAGTGATTGAAAGCCCTACATTAACCACTGATTGTGACTTTTCCATGCATCAACACTAATTATATAAAATGTTGCGTAAAGGGATTCATTTTGGCCTGGAGGAGTTTTGGCTGAACCTCGTCAAGAAAGAAAACCAGACGTAAAAATGAGAACAAGGGTTGCTAGCAAAACGAAAATGTTTGGTTCTATTCCAGGTAAAGACAATTAACATTACTTTTATCTTAGATAAATATGTATCTGCTTAAAATAGGGTTTTATCAAAAAGGAGTGGTTATTTTGTTTGAATATAAGCTGGACTAAAAGATAAAAGGCACTAAATTGCGCGCAACTATTTTCRTGTAACTTGTCTTGTGACGAAATTGTTGCCGATACCACAARGTTTTCGTAGATGTAAAATATGTTCTTGCAACTTGTATAAACCTATTTCGAACAAGGTTGTCAGAGCCAAAGGGTCATGGGTCCACTGTGTCATGATAGTCTGGTCATGGGTCCACTGTGCCAT